TCCCCATCAGCAGTCCCGGTCAACAGGAGGGGAGAGAAGTGGATTTTTGCCTGCTGGGCATGAAGGTTCATTTTCCTCTTAGTCCAGGCAGCATCTTTGTTCTGAAGGGATATTAAGGCTCTACCAGTTGTGGGTGACTCCACTCTGAGGGGAACAGAGGGCCCACTATGTTGACCAGACACCTCAAACAGGGAGGTCTGTTGCCTTCCTAGGACCCAGGTAAGGAATGTCCCAAAGAGATTTCTAGGTTTTGTACAGTCCCCTGAGAATATCTGCTATTGTTCTTCTAGATTGGTGGTGATTAAGTGTGGGATTCGTGGCGATAAGACAAGGCTTTTAGACGTAGAAAAAGGTAACTTAACGTAGCTTAACATAAGTGAAGCCTAGCTTAGCATGAGTAGCTGAACTTCGGATTTCCAAGGTAGAAGAAGCGACTGCCGGGAAGAATACCAGCTGGAGAGTCTCACGAGGGAGGAAGCAGAATCAGGTGTACCGCCTAGGAATGCAAGGGCAAATGGTTGTGCAGGATGCTTGTTATTGCTAGAGTCAGAACCGCAAATGTATCTATGCCAAATTATGGGAGTAACTGTGCATTGTACAGAATGAAATAAAAGAGCGATGATTACAATAAAGGTTTGGCATTAGCACAATTCATATTGGATGTGTTTGCTTTGTCCGGAGCATGGCCGGGTGCCGCAGCAGTGGTACTTCCACGTTTACCCTTGCTCCTACTTCCAGTGTTTACCCTCAGTGCTACTTCTACCTTTACCCTCACTGGCACTTCTGCATTTAACCTCTCTCCTACTCCCAATGTTTACACTCAGTAGCACTTCCACGTTTACCCTTGCTCTTGCTCCCAGTGTTTACCCTCAGTGCTACTTCTGCGTTTACCTTCGCTCCTACTTCCAATGTCTACCCTCAGTGTTACTTCATCATTTACCCTCGCTCCTTATCCCAATGTTTAACCTCTGTGGTACTTCCACTTTTACCCTCAGGGATTCTTCTGCGTTTACACTCACTCTTACTCCCAGTGTCTACCCTCAGTTATACTTTCGCATTTACCCTCAGTGGTATTTCTGAGTTTACCCTCATTCGTACTCCTTATGTTTACCTTCAGTCCTACATCTGACTTTACACTCACTGGTACTCCCAATGTCTACCCTCAGTTACATTTCCAAGTTTGCCCTTGCTGCTACTCCCAATGTTTCCCCTCAGTGGTACTTAAGTGTTTACCCTCCCTCTTACTCCCAATGTTTACCCTCAGGGCAACATCGGCGTTTGCTCTCAGGGGTACTTCCACGTTTACCCTCGCTCCTACTCCCAGGATTTACCCTCAGTGGTACATCTGCATTTACCCTCAAAGGTACTTCCGCGTTTACCCTCAGTGCTACTTCTGTGTTTACCTGGGGTACTACTCCTGATGTTTACCCTCCGTGGTACTTACTCCATTACCCTCGCTCCTACTCCCAATATCTACCCTTGCTCCTACTCCCAATGTTTATCCTCAGTGGTACTTCCGCATTTACCCTCGCTCCTACTCCCAATGTTTACCCTCAGTGGTACTTCCGTGTTTTCCCTTAGTGGTACAAAGAGCCACAAAGATGATTAAGGGAATGGAACATTTCTTGTATGAGGAGAGACTGAGTGATTAGGGCCTGTTCACCTTGSAGAAGAGAATGCTTAGAGGGGTTATGATTAACATGCAGAAGTTGATGAAGGGAGAATGTAGGGAGGAAGGGGTCACGCTCTTCTCATTGGTGGCCAGTGACAGGGCAAGAAGAAATGAGTATAAGTTGAAACACAGCAAGTTCCATCTGCAGGTGAGGAAGAACTTCTTTGCGGTGCGGGTGACAGAACAGAACAGTGGAACAGGCTGCCCAGGGAGGTTGTGGAGTCTCCTTCTCTGGAGGCCTTCAAAACCCGCCTGGACGCCACCCTGTGCCACGTGCTCCAGGTGTCCCTGCTTGAGCAGGAAGGGTGGACTAGATGATTTCTTGAGATGACTTCCTACCTTGAATATTATGTGTGATTCTGTGATTCTGTACCTCCGCCTTCATCTTCGCTCCTGCTCCCAGTGTTTGCCCCCAGTTGTATTTCTGCATTTACCCTCAGTGCTACTTGCACATTTATTCTCGCTCCTGCTCCCAATGTTTGCCCCCAGTGGTATTTCTGCATTTACCCTCAGTGCTACTTCCGTGTTTAATCTCGCTCCTACTCCCAACGTTTGCCCTCAGTGGTACCTCGGCTAATACGCTCAGTGGTACTTCCGCGTTTACACTTGCTCCTCCTTCCTATATTTATCGTCAGTGGTACTTTATCATTTACCCTCACTCCTACTCCCTATATTTGACTTCAGTTGTACTTCTGCATTTACCTTCAATGGTACTTCTGTATTTACCCTCACTCCTACTCCCAATGTTTGCCCTCAGTGGTACTTCCACTTTTACCCTCCCTTCTACTCCCAATGTTTACCTTCAGGACAACTTCAGCGTTTGCCCTCGGGGTACTTCCACATTTACCCTCGCTCCTACTTTCAGGATTTACCCTCAGTGGTACATCTGCATTTAGCCTCTGTGGTACTTCGTGTTTACCCTAACTTCTGCTCTCAATATTTATCCTCAGCGGTACTTCCACCTTCACCCTCAGTGGTACTTCCACATTTACAGTCCCTCCTACTCCCAATCTTTACCCTCAGTGCTACTTGCACGTTTATTCTCCTGCTACTCCCTATGTTTACGCTCAGTGGTCCTACAGCATTTTCCCTCAGTGCTACTTCCGTGTTTATCCTCAGTGTTACTTCTGCATTTACCCTCGCTCCTACTCGTAATGTTTATGCTAAGAGGTACTTCTGTGTTTACCCTCAGTGATACTTTCCTCTTTACACTCACTCCTAATGTTTACACTCAGAGATACTTCCTTGTTTACACACCCTCCTACTCCCAATGTTTACCGTCAGTGCTATTTCCACGTTTACCCTCAATCCTACTTCCGTTTTTACCCTCTCTACTGCTACGAGTGTTTACCCTGAGTGGTACTTCCACGATTACCCTCACTCCTACTGCCAATGTTTGCCCTCAGTGCTACTTCTGCATTTACACTCCCTCCTACTCCCAATGTATACCCTCAGTGGTACTTCTGCATTTACACTCAGTTGTACTTCTGTGTTTACAATCACTCCTACTCACTATATTTACCATCACTGGTACTTACGCATTTACCCTCAGTGGTACTTCCGTGTTTACAATCACTCCTACTCCCAATGTTTACCCTCAGTGCTACTTCCACTTTTACCCTCAGTGGTGCTTCCACAGTTACCCTCGCTAATACTCCCAATCTTTAGCCTCAGTGCCACTTCCATGTTAATCCTCGCTCCTACTCCCAATATTTACCCTCAGTGGTACTTCCATATTTACCCTTTCTTCTACTCCCAAGGTCTACCCTCAGTGCTACTTCCGCGTTTACCCTCAGCAGAACTTTTGTGTTTACCCAAGGTACTACTCCCAATGTTTACCCTCCATAGTACTTCCGCATTTACCCTCCCTCCTACTCCCAATGTTTACCCTCAGGGCAACTTCAGCATTTGCCCTCGGTGATACTTCTGCATTTACCCACGCTCCTACTCCCAGGATTTACCCTCAGTGGTACATCTGCATTTAGCCTCTGTGGTATTTCCGTGTTTACCCTCCCTCTTGCTCCCAATATTTATCCTCAGCAGTACTTCCACGTTTACCCTCAGTGGTACTTTTGTGTTTATCCTCGCTCCTACTCCCAGTCTTTACCCTCAGTGCTACTTGTACATTTATTCTCACTCCTACTCCCTATGTTTACGCTCAGTGGTACTTCCGCATTTATACTCAGTGTTACTTTCTCATTTACCCTCACTCTTACTCCTAATGTTTATGCTCTGGAGTACTTCCATGTTTACCCTCAGTGGTACTTCTGTGTTTACCATCACTCCCACTCCCTATGTTTACCCTCAGTGGTACTTCCGCATTTACCCTCACTCCTACTCCCCAAATTTACCCTTAGTGGTACTTCCGCATTTACACTTGCTCCTGCTCCCAATGTTTATTCTCAATGGAACTTCCACGTTTACCATCGCTCCTACTCCTCTTTACCTTCAGTGGTCCTTCCAAGTTTACCCTCAGTGGTACCACAGAGGTTTAGGCTCAGTCCTACTCCCCCTGCTCACTCTTAGTTGTACTTTCCTTTTTACCTTCGGTCCTCCTCTCCCTGGAAATGATTGGCTCTCTTTTGCTTTCTCCTAAAGAAAAGCTTTGCTTTGCTGCAAGGTCTACGTTAAGTAATCACAGAGGGGTCAAATAATTGCCTTTAGCACCTGGCCCTCCTGCTTGCCTTGTTTTCCATTTTCTAACACAGATATTCCCTATAAACGGATACACTGGATTTCAACTGGAGAGAAGGGAGGCCCAGGAATTTTGCATCGGCTGCATTGTTGAAATGTGCAGCAGGCGCAACCCACTCCAAGGAGATATCCACGCAAGACAAAGGAGGGCAAACTGCTGAGTAAGGAGACCGTGGGCATCCAACAGCCCCTTCGGGCTGTGAAGGTAGGGAGAGTGACCCCACAACTGCATCTCTTTCCTTCCTGCTTGCCCTCACGGCAGCACATGCTTAACACCCATCACCACTTTTCTTTTTCCAGTATTTTTATTTCTGACAGGCATTTACAACGTTCCATTCATAGAACTAAAAACATAAAAATAGACCTTCTTTCAGCTTATAAAAGAAATATATAAGAACCTTTGACATAGACATGTCGTGACATTATGTACAAGAACATGGTACCTCTCAAGTACCAGCCTTCCAGTATTCCAGAACGGACTGTATTCCACTGGGTACAGCACAGGACAGTTAAAACCTCTGCTTTCCTAATACATCAGGACACAAATGACTGGTAGATGATATAAAACAATGATGTGATAATACAAAGGGTATAGAAACCTTTCTAAAGCTTTTAGGAAAAAAAAAACAAAATGAGAAGATAGCAAAAAGTTAATAGAGAAAGCTTTCATAAGATCAAGTAGAGTGCATCAGAAACCAGAAAGGGAGGGCAAGGGGGGAATGCTAGCTGGGACACAAAGACAATGATGGATTTTTTTTTTCTTCTTATTTTTTTTTTAGGGAATAATTTTTGTTATGTTTTAAAATATAGTCAGAGTGGATTTTATAAAATATAATCCTAAAGCTATTATAAAAATTTCAGGTTTTCAAAGTACCTACCAATGTGTCAAACATCAATAGATACAAAAAAAGTTTCATATAATCCTTTTTTTTTCATAGCTGAAACTGAAATGGGAAAGCTATATAAATCTTTAAGAAAAAAAAGTGCTATTTTGTGTTTTGTATGTGGAAATCTACTTAAAAACATAAGATTTTAGTCACATCTTACCCTGTTTTAGATGCTTAAATAAATGATTCAAAATGTGAAAGAGGTTTGCTTGTTTAGAACTTGTTCATATTCTATTGCAGTGGAAAAGTTTCTATAAAGAAATTAAAATACACTAGTTTCATCCACAGTAGGGAAGTGGATGAGGTCAGCTTTTTGGCCATGATTTCCCTGTCCCCTAAGCCCAAACTCTGTCAGAGAGAACGGACCAAATTAATCTGTGATGTTACCACACCAGCTCCAGTGCAGTTACATCAGGGATCAGTTTAGCCCACTGCTATTCAGTCATGATATTTTATTTTTTTTTTAACTTTTATTACCTAACTAAACTCCAGTCTCAAACATATACAATAATCCTTTTTTTTTTTTTCCTGAAGAAAGGTATACTAAATAAGAGTTTCCAGTTCATATTTTAATATAAAACCACCACTCCTAACCCTCTGCAAAAAGAAGCTAGCCTCGTATCCTAGACTTGGAGCTAAGCTAACACTGTAAAATTCTTATCCCTTTGTGCCCCTGCATCTCAGGTAAAATACAAAAAATATTTCTTCAAGTGTTAAATTTGGATCTCTTTTAAGAGAGTTTGGCATCTTTATAATATCGTGTAAAACTAGAGCTTCCAACATTGACATTAAGTTAGACCGGCCACAGACCAAGAGGACTCAACACAACATAAATCCCAAACCTTTTCTTCACGCACTCCTAAAATACACGTATATTCTCTTACACTGAAAGAGGGAAAAGTAGGAAGAATACTGCGACTGTACAGGTTAAAAAGGCAGTTTCCTTGCTAAGGAGATGAGCTTCTGGCTGATGCTTCACGGCTTTCCAACCCTTGTGCTATAGTTGAAACCAGTTTGCTGCATGCAGGCAAGACACCCACAGTAACCTGCTTCCCAGTGATGCTGTTCTCCCCTCCGCTAAAATCTCAGCCCGATTATCTCAGAATAAATAAAATGGAGTAGAAGCCCTTGGTAGCGTAAGACAGGACCGCAAGCGTATTCCGGATTGGGGTGTGGAGTGCGTCCGCGTTGATGGGCACGGGAAGGCGCATGGGGGCCGCAGCCGGCAGGGCCCGGCTCCGCGCAGCGCCGCCTACAGCTCCGTGTTGAGCTTCCCGCCCGGCACGAAGTCCTGGCGCCGCACCCACACCACCTCGCCGCCGCCGTGCGCCTCCGCGTCGCCGTTGATGCCTGACAGGGCCGCCTGCTTCTTGAGCTGGCTCATGCGGGACGCGTGCGAGTCCACGGGCCGGCACGGCAGCCCGCCTGCCAGGGAGGCCGCCCGCAGCCGCTCACGGAGCTCCCGCTCGGCCACCGCGGCGCCTCGCATGGCCTCGCAGTACTCGTCATCGTCGCTGAGGATGTCCGTCTCCTTGATGTCCTCCTGCTCCTCGTACTGGGCGAGGTCGAACTGCTCCTCCACCCAGCGGTCGGTGTCGCCGCCGTGCACGGGCTGCTGCGCCTCCTTCTCGGGGCTGCTTGCGAAGATGGCGTCCGAGTCGATGGTAAACCTGTTGCGGGCCAGCCGCCGCCGCCGCCTCCCCAGAGACTTGCTCGGGGCTGACACTGTGCACACACAAAGATAAAACCCCACGGGCTTTTTACACACCACACTACTCCCTTGGAAGCAGCTAAGCCTGACTGGTGTTTCACGCTTGGCCTTGGCACAACACCAGCAGTGTCCCATGAACAACCCAAGTTGCTCAACACCCTCCGTAAGGGCAAGACACACTCAGCTCCCGAGACCCATGCTACCTCCAGGTGCGGGAGGAGTTTCTGCCTCTCAGATGGGCAGCGGGGTATGGGCCAAAAGCTCCTGTTCCTCCAGGCAGGCAGGCAGGCAGGCAGCACCAAGGACGTCCGCTAAGCTTGGCTTCTCAGAGCGGGCGCAGGTGCGGAGCCAGCTGCATGGACGGGGCCCTTGCATCATGGAGAGCAAGGCCGCAGGTGCCCAGGCCTGGCGCTCGCCACGTGGGACTCGTCGCATCACTTTACAGGGACACAAGTTCCCCATTCCGGCTGGGTTAGTCCCTCCCCCGCTCCCTCCCTACTAGGGAATGGGGGAAAAAAGAGGCAAGGAAAAAAATCCCCCAAAGATGGAAAAGCTTTCAAAAGTTCCTTACTCAGCACCAGCTGGTCTACTAGCTTTTGCAACTGGCCCAATTAGCAAATTCACATCTTCCAAGTTGAAACATCTTCATAAGAGGCTTGTGAGACAAAGCCGGGACGGATCCTGCAGCCGAAGGACCTGCAGGCGCTCCAGTGCTTTACGTGCACACACACGTAGTTCCATCGCAAGCGGGCGAACTCCGAAGGTAGAGTTTGTCCCCCTCCACTACACAGCACTTCAGCACTTTCAGGATGCTTCTAGCAAACTCTAGCAGTTGTGCAGGTTATGCTTTTACATCCCTGAGCCTCCAACCACGCATAAAGTACAACAGCTCAGCTATTCTTTTAACTATACTGAGAGGTCTGGACTCTTAAGATTTTAAATCCCCGCAGATTGCATCATGCAGATGCATCGATGAGCCAAACTACCACAAGGTTTGGCATGTACAGCACATCATCCCCAAAGGTTGATGAGAGCACTGTGGCAAAGCAGTTGCTTTTTGGCCTTCCCCTGATTCTTCCTGCTTATGATGCTAAATGCCTCGAGGCAGGTGGCTAGCACCCCCTCAAGTGAGAAGCTGTGTGGTGCGTGTTATCACTCCGGCCTGCCCGTTACAGGAGAGGAACAGAAAGCCTGGTTCTCTACATTGCTGGATCTAATGAGCCAAAAAGCAAAAACAAAACAAAACAAAACAAACAAACAAAAAACCAGAACAGACCAGAACACACAGCTGTGTGCTGTGTACTTTTCAGGTAGAAGCAATGTTTCTTCCCTCTGTCATCTAGTGTTCTGAAAATAAAAATGTGCTTTTCCCTGGGATTTTCTCATTGCTTTGCCTGAAGTCAATTGGAAAGGAAAATCCATAGTTTAGGACAAATCATTCCAAAACAAAACAAAATAAAATTGTATCAAGTGCATGCCCCTCAGATGTGAGATGTAGAAGCATGAGCCCTTTAGCATCAAGGTTGAAAAGGCTAAAATGGAGCCTGGCTAAAATGGAAAAGGCTAAAACTCGTCACTTCAAACCAAGCCAGTCATTTGGAGGAACTGATTTTTCATGTGCAGTTTAACAAGTGCTAGGGTTAGTTTAGAAATTCTGTACATGCTTTTGCTTATGAAATATGCAGTGGACTTCTGATTTGTTCAGCTTTGTTCTGGAACCCTATTTCCAGATTAAAGTGTACAGCCATATCAGTATTGACAGGAATTCTGCTTGTTCCTTCCATGACAAAAGGACTCTCTGAAGCTGAGCCTTGAGTGCAAAGCAAGGTAAATAGTGGTAATTTAAGGCTCTCAAGGAGGTGAAGCATGGAAATCCAGCAACTTTTGCATATACAGAGAAGAATGCTAATCCTAATATATAAGTAATAGACACCACCACATGTCCTATAATGGTGCTGGGGTTACTGGGATCTTGAAAGTCTGTAGCCCTACAGTACCTGCCCTGTTCATGGCTGGCCTTGCACCTTTTAGAGCACACAATCTTTTTCCACCAAAAGGAACATATTGCTGGGATGAGGGTAAACTTTCGGTTTTAAGAAGCTGCCTTCTGTGTTTATCCCGCAGAATCGAGTGCACGGCCTTCAGAAAGTCCTTCCTGTGCTCTGGAGAACTGAAAAATAGGCAAGAATTGAAGAGGCAGAGTTAACTCTTGGGAACTGCTACAAGTGTGCTGAAAATGAGATCATTAATGACCAGTACTGTAATTTACGACAGTTCCAACCAATTAGCATGTTCATCTCACAGAAGAGACTCAGCTCAATATAGTATTTTCAAAGCAAAGCTACATCTATAGCCACTGCAATGGATATCTGAGGAAACAAATACATCATTCATTAACATTTAGCCATTTACCTCTCTTGAGGCTTCCTTTCCGTTAAGGTCTTAAACTTGTCAGATAAACATCAAGGTGACCTATGGCAGCTAATTAAATCTCAGTTTGTCTCACATAAGTGCACACAAGGCAGAATTCCCACGATCTCCACTGGGAGAAGTGGGAACCACTGGGAAAAGTGGGAATCAGCTTACTATCAGCTCTGCTGGACTGGTGAACTTGTGCAGCAAGTTCTAACCTGAAGCCCAGAACAAATCAGGGTGATCGCCACCACTGCTGTAACAAAAAAAAAAAACCAAGCTTTCTTCTTAAGATAAAGGACAGTGCCCCAAGAACAGGGTATATGTTAGAGTGAAAGGTACTGGAGGAACAAGACAAATGAGCAGACAAGTTTGCATAAAGATCCACTGCTGGAGTTTAATTGGGTGTAAATTTGTAGAAGGAAAATTGCAATAAGGATATTCCTGCAAAGGTGCCCAGCTGATCAAATATATGTCTCTATTTTAACACATTTTATGAAACTCTTCCTGTCAGAAGCGTGGTTTTAACACCTTCTCCTCACTTTCTCTGCCAGCTGTTCCCAAATTACCCTAGAGGAAAAGAACAGACAAGTTGGGATTCAGATGCAGCAGCCATGGAAAATATGAAAACGCACTTACCTACAGCAGAGGTGAAATGTTCTTTCTGGTCTGCCTTCAGATTCAGATTTAACATGGACAATCTCACACACAGAATTGGTCTCTGCATCTAAAGGAAAAAAACGAGTAGCACTTCACACAGTAGGTTCTCACATTTAACCTCTATTAGAATAATTTACTCCGTAATCCTGAAAAACAGGTTTAGGGCAGCCTGAGACAACAGATCCTATACTGCAAACAAATAACAACATTCACTCCTGGCCAAAGGGCAGCAGTGAGTAAATGGGGAAAAAAACAGACACCTGAACTGCCCCAAATTTAATAGCACTTCACATGCACTCACTCAACCCCAAAGAAAGCGGGGAGACCACAGTTCTTCAGGTTTTCCATGGAGTATTCTCATATTTCACAGGTGTAATTTCTACAGGTATAATAATCACTTCCTACATTCTTTCTAATTTCATTTATGCATTACAGAGATTAAAAAAAATTAAGATTTTTAATATAATTAGCTTCACATGCAGCCATCAAGTGCAAGAACAAAAATCACTAGCTAGAAACACACTAGAAGCTGAAGCTTCTACCCCTTCATTATTCCCCTGTGCTATTACGGATGCTGATGTTGTGGATTCCTTTCCCTGCATATGCACATACTCAGGACAAAGATCAGTCAGTGGATGCACTGAGATCAGACATGAGAAAAGCTCTGACACGTTTCTGCAGCTGAAGCATTACCTGCACTTGCCAACGCTCGAACCTGCAGTGCTTCCAAAGGTATCATGTGGCGGAAGCGGAATGGATCCCACTCTTCATAAATCGAAGCTCTGTGTGATCCTCCCTGGAAGAATTTCAAAATATTGTCAGGAAACAAGATACTCCAGAAATTCAGACTTAATAATTCACAGAATTCACAGAATATTTAAGGTTGGAGGGGACCTCTACAGATCATCTAGTCCAACCTTCCTGCTCAAGCAGGCACACCTASAGCATGTGGCACAGGGTGGCATCCAGGCGGGTTTTGAAGACCTCCAGAGTAGGAGACTCCACAACCTCCCTGGGCAGCCTGTTCCATAATAATCCTGTTAATAATCCTTTCTGCTCTGCACTGGGAATCTCCAGTTAGGGAGTTGTTTCAATTTTCCCTCCCCTCCTTGAAACATCTTGGCAACTAGTGCCACTGTAGTGCCCATCTATGAAGGTCCTGTTAAATTCTGGAGAAAACCTATCACAAGACCAGTCCACTTTCATCAATGCTTTAAAAATATTAAAACTAATGTTTCATTCTTACCTATAAATTTACAAATACTCATGAACATACTTTTTTTAGTTTAGTCACTCTAAAGTTACTTTGTGACCAGTTCATGTTAGAAACCAATCACAGAGGCATTTCATATCACATGGTTTTTGTTTTATGCCATGTGTAGGAACCAAAAGAGCTTTTGCAACATTAAACACTGTGTTGCCCATTGTACCAATGCACGTGATTGGTGTCAGGCTTAGTTTCTTCTTTGCCCTCCGCTGGGCAGTTCCTGTTGTTTATCAAATCCACACTGTGCTGTGGAGTGCACTTTCATGGAACGAGATACCACCTTGCACAAATCTTTTGTATTTGGCTCTTTGATCYGTGTGCCGAAATCTAATGTGAGAGCTGACATCTATCAATGCTGTTAATGAAACAGTGCCCTGCTTCAGTGCTGGCTGTTGGTTTCTATAGGCGTAGCGTGCCACTGTGCTAAATATTTCGGGTGTGCCTGCACTGTGTGTCAGGAATCCTCCTGGAATCTGTGATTGAAACTTAAAACTAAGCGCACGCTCGCACCGCATTGTGCCCACCTGGACTAGGCTGTTCAGTATTACTCTAGTTCTCCTTGCGTGGGGGAGCACAAGGAGCACAGACAAAAGCACACAGTAACATCAGAGATTTATGGGAAGCAAATCTTCATCGTGGAACATCGCCACAGGGAGGGTCAGTGCAACTTACAAGCTTCTTCTTCTGCTTGGAACCATCCTTGTAGACAAGGACCACAGCGGTTTTGAACACTAGAGAAAAGGCAAAATCAAAAGCCATACATAAGCTCGAGAGTGAGCCTCCATCTCCCAAACCTGCAGGCCATTCAGCTCCTCAGAGAGCCCCCAGGAGAGCCCAGAAGGGGAGGTAAAAGCCATCATACCTGTCCTCCTTACATGCTCTCCCCACCCCACCACTCAACTTCACCAGCTTTCAGCACACAGAAACAAGTTCAATCTCCAGTTTAAGTTACCAGTTCTCCAAACAACTATTCAAACAGCAACAGTTCTATCTAAAAATTAAAAGAAACTCTTCCTCTCCACTAGCAAATGTCCCCTCCCTTCAGACATATGAGCAGTGCTCAGCTACATGCAGCCAGCCATCACAAGGGCTGCATTTATATCGAATTTGAACCCTGCATAAGTTGAAATGTGGCACAGTGGTCTATGCCAGGCTAAAGAGAACAACGCCGGCAGAGGTGTCATTTAATTCCCTTTTACTATGCGATACCCACATGGAGTTGCAATTTGGCTTTCAAAACTCCAACTGCTCTTTCTTTATGTCTCAAAGGCACTCTTTGTTTTAGGACTGCTTAGACACTTAATTTTGGACATTTTATGAAACTGATTTAAATCTTTCTGGAATTATTAAAAAGTTGCTGCACATTCCTAACAGCTTATATAAGGTCATTCGGCTTTAATGAATAATCAGGAGCTTTCCCAACTACAGCAAAGCAGTCAGTTTATATACATACACACCAAGAGCAAAGCTGGAAAATTCTTAATTTGTAAGCAGTTTACTGTAACACACACACACAAAAAGTCAAARTAACTGGCTTCATAACCACTAGAGCTTTCTGCAAACAGCACAGTAGAAGCCTAGTTGTGCAAGAGCAACTTTAGAAACAAATTAAGAAAGCCTAGCTGCTCACTGCATAGTTTTAATTCTGAAAGTGCATTATTTAGTAAATACAAGACATTAAGTGCCTTTCTTAGGGACTACACTTTGATGCAGAGGAAAAACCTGAAATCTAGTCAAATAGCACTTCAAACTCTCAGTTTTCCACCCAAGTTAGACCACTCAGATGGTATATACACTCATTCCTACTCCCAATATTTACTTACAGTGGTACTTCCGTGTTTACCCTTGGTCCTACTCCCGATATTTACCCTCAGTCCTACTTCCATGCTGACCCTCAGTCCTACTCCTGATGTTCACCATCGGACCTAAGTCCAATATTTACCCCTAGTCCAAATGCCCCACTTTACCCTCTCTCCAACTGCCAAGGTTTACCCTCGGTTCTGCTCCCAATATTTCACTTATTCTACTCCCAGTGTTTACCCTCACTGGTTCTCCTGTGCTTATCCTCAGTCCTACTCCCGTTGCTTACCCTCGGGGTACTTCCATGTATACCCTCTGTCCTACATCCGATGATTACCCTCGGTCCTACTACTGATGTTTATCCTCAGGGGTACTTCCATGTTTACTCTCAGTGGTACTTCTGTGTTTACTCTCGGCCCTACTTCCAAATTTACCCTCAGTCCTACTCCTAATGTGTACTGTCCCTCCTATTCCTGCTGTTTACTCTTGGTCCTACTCCTGATGCCTACCATCAGTGGTACTTCCATGTTTACCCTTGGTGCTCCGCTTGATATTTGCCTTCACTCCTACTTCTGTTGTTACCCTCAGTCATACTCCCATGTTTCCCCTCAGTGATAATCTCGGGTTGACCATTAATCCTACTAACGCTGTACACACCAAGTTATGCTCCTGCTGTTCCCCATTCATCCGACTTCTGTGTTTACCCTCCGTCCTACTCCCATTGTTTACCCTCAGTGGTACTTCCATGTTTACCCTTGGTCCTAATTCCAAGTTTACCCTCGCTCCTAGTCCCAATGTTCACCTTCAGTGCTACATCCGCGTTCACCCTCGCTCCTACTCCCAACGTTTCCCCTCAGTGGTATTCCCAATGTTCACCCTCAGTGGTACTTCCCCGTTTACCCTCACTCCCCCTCCCGAAGTTTACCCTCAGCGGTACTTCTGCGTTTACCCTTTCTCCTACTTCCAATGTTTACCCTCAGTGGTACCTGCGTGTTTACTCTCAGTGGTACTTTTGTGTTTACCCTTGCTCCTATTACCAATGTAAACCCTCAGTTGTACTTCCACATTTACCCTCAGTGGTACTTCCACGTCTATCCTCGCTCCTACTCCCAATGTTTACCCTCAGTGGTACTTCCGAATGTCTACCCTAAGTGGTACTTCCACGTTTACCCTCGCTACTAATCCTAGTGTTTACCCTCAGTGGTACTTCCATTTTTAACCTCAGTGCAACTTCCACGTCTACTCTCGCTCCTACTCACAATGTATACCCTCAGTGGTACCTCTGCGTTTACCCTCAGAGCTTCTTCCATATTTACCCTCCTTCCTACTCCCAATGTTTACCCTCAGTTGTATTTCCGCATTTACCCTCAGTGGTACTTCTGTGTTCACACTCGCTCCTACTCCCAATGTTTACCCTCAGTTGTATTTCCGCATTTACCCTCAGTGGTACTTCCGCGTTTCCCCTCCCTTCTATTCCCAATGTTTACCTGCAGTGGTACTTCCACGTTTACCTTCAGTGGTACTTCCGTGTTTACCCTCACTCCTACTCCCAACGTTTAACCTCAGTGTTATTTCCGCGTTTACCCTCAGTGGAACTTCTGTGTTTAAGCTCACTCCTACTCCCACCATTTACCCTCAGTTGTAGTTCCACGTTTACTCTTGCTCCTACTCCCACTGTTTACAGTCCGTGATACTTCCACATTTACCATCTATAGTACCCCACAAGTTTAGCCTCGTTCTTATTCTCCCTGCTTACTCTCAGTTATATTTCCATTTTTACCCTTGCCCTACTACCGCTGTTTACCCTCTGTGGTACTTTTCTTTTTTACCCTCACTGGTTCTCCCATGTTTATCCTCCATTCTCCTCCCCCCACTTACCATCCATCCTACTGCCTATGTTTACCATTGGTGGTAATTCTGTCTTTACCTCTGTCGTACTTCTATGTTTACCCTCGGTCCTACTCCCAACATGTACCGTCAGTGGTACTCCCCTGTTTACCCTCAATGCTACTCCCATATTTACCCCTCACTCCCACCTCCTCAGTCCTACTGCCCATGTTTACCCTCAGTGGTAATCTTGTGTTTACCCTCAGTCCTACTCCTGCTTTTCATCCTCAGACCTACTCCCAATGCCTACCCACAGTGGTTCTTCCCATATGTTTTCCCTCCGCCCTACTCAAAGCTTCTTCATGCTTCAGTCCCCTCCAACACCATGGGAACCAGTTATTTAGAATCGGTCCGTCTACTGCCATTATCTTTTCATAGACAACTATCTTTCTACATAGTTCTCAATTCATAGCCTTGGTTTAAACAAGTCCTGCAGTATCATAGTGGTCATCCAGTGGTCATCCCTGAAGTTTTCATCACACAGCTTTTTTTCCCACTATGGCAGAGATAAATAATAATTTATGTTTCAGCCAACACTGCAGAAAGCAATGCTCAGCTACTTTCAACAGACACCTGCCTAAGCTTAGTCTACATCTACATCATTTATTTCAGTCACATCTGAAATAAATTAAAAAAAACAGTAAGATACAAACCAAATGCTGCCAGCTCAGGTTCCTTCTTCCATTTCCCCAGTGAAGCAGGAGGATTAAGCCATATCACTGTATTATGCAAGATCAAGTCCCCCATAGAAAGATCTGCAACCTGTGGATCACAGACACATATCAAATTATAGCATCAGTTTAACAGCAACAAAGACAGACCTAGAAGCCCCACACTACCTGAGCAAACATTTGGCATCAGATGTTAATTCAATATGCAAACGTGTGCAGAGAGATCACAGCAGACCAAATGCACATGTCATGTAAATCCTTATTTGGTGGGCATGAACTAGAGCAAGCCAAGATTAGAGTCTGGCTGTCATGATTTTGTAAGAAGCCACGACTTGCCAAAAACACCAAGAGTTTCCTAGGCCTTTTGCTCCTTTTCTGTCTTTTGTCTGTCTTTCCACCTACGAGCTCCTTGCTATTTTCTTTGACCACTTGAAGCATCTTCCTACAATCACACACACTCAGATTGGGGTAAAATTCAGAGATAGCACTGGGTGAAGAGGCCAAACCATGTCCCCTGCACGGCAGCCATGGTTCTTCATTCTGTCCAGAGGCTCATTTGTGGAGGAAGGACAAAGGAAGGACAAAGGAAGGACAAAGGAAGGACTCTCCCCAGTACCTGAGTGACATTTTGCACTATTATTCACCCTTCACTTGGTAAAGGCTGACTGTTGCCAGAAGACACCACAGACACCATCAGCACAACCACCTAAACTCTCCCTACAAACACAAGTGCAGCACAAAGCAATGTGTTTATTGTACCCACTCCCAAATCCACACAGCATGACCACCATCTGCTCTCCAAGGAGAAGTCCCGATACGCTCACCAAGGCCAGCTTGCCAAGCCAGGTCTGTGCCCTGGAGCCACCGCGTGCTTGTCCCCACTGCTCTCATCCAACACCTGCACCCAAAGCTTCCCTGGCTCTGCACAGTCAGGGCCACCTCTATCTTACTGTCTTAATTACCCAGCACCTCTTCCACCCAGTCTCTGTCCTGGTTGCTGGTAAAGCCCCACTGTCAATTCTTCATACGGTCCCATCTCCCCAGGGTTCACCCTCAACTTGAACCCTTAGGGCATCTTCCACAGGTGTCTAAGAGAGACACCCAAGATTGAGCCACGTTGCAATTTCATGCGTTTCAGCACGTGCTATATGGGACCTAGGCCAAAGCCCAGGCCTCTCATACATCGAGCCAGCTAATTCACTTTCCAATGTGGTAACAGCAGCTTCTCACACACTGGGTCTCACACTGTGATCTATTTGAAGCCATCAATGAACTAAGTACAGACCTGTCTCTGCACAGCAGTCTGTTCAAGTGGAGCAAGATCATGTGTGGAAGCCGCAGCTGAGCTGAGACATGAGCTTCAGAAAAGGGAAACTGCAGGCCTGGCTGGGATTCTGACCCAAGCCCAGCATTCAAGGTGAATTAACCCAGAGTTTCTCTACCTGGGTTCCCCTCACTTAGCTATACAGGAAAAGCAGTTTTTGTACTGAACTGGGATTTATCTGTTTGTATCAGAATCAAACCAGGCAGCATGAAAGCTAATAAGTGATACAATTCAGTATTCACAAAATGTAACACTCACACTACAGACTACAAAACAGAAGCCTTGTTCTCTTAAATTTGACAATCTGTTACCTCCTTTTTCTCCCCAGTTTGCTCTGCAATGAGTTGGTCAAAAACTGCACCATACTCTTCATGGATTTTCTGCATTTCATTAATGTGGCTGGCAACTTTGTTCATGGTTTTTATGGCCACTAGAAGAGAAAAAGACAAAAGGTACTTTAAGCCCCTACAGGGAAGAGGCAGGAGGAGGGTGCCAGACCAAAGGTTAAACAGGCAAGAGGRACATAGGTTAGGTCGTTACCATCAAGGTGATAGTGTTCTTCACTGTCTACATCAGTCAGAGCAAAGAGCTCCTTCAGCAGGAGAGGGTACTTGAGTATCCGCTGGATGGGTTTGATGAGGTAAGACTCGAGTGTGGAGGAGTGCTGCCGGCGAGGGTTCTGCGCATCCAGAAATGCCTTGAAGGCAGTGTCTGTCTTAGCTGGAAGGTTAAAATGAAGAGAACAAATCAGAAATAATAAAGTGCCCCGATAAAGTGACTTTTCCAGCCTGAAATTCACTTATCCAGAGACATTTTGTGAGGAAGTGACAATTTATCAGATCCACCGTATTAGATTTATGTCCTTCAGGTATTGAGCTGCTGTCACTTCGCCAAATAGGCACTACTCATGATTTAACATCAGGCACCATACCATAAAAACACATAAAATTTTTGACTACTCACTGTAAAAAAAAACAAAACAACCAGAATTACCTAGTTTGTAGTCTTAACATTAAGGTCAAAGAAGCTGGTGCCAGCAGAAAGCCTGAATGTAACTTGCAATAAATTATTTACTCATGTATTCCACAGAGCTGCCAATTCTTCTTTGCAGTGTGGTAAGGGTTTATAAGTAATAATAGTAGAAAACATCCTTTATGCAAATCTGATTTTTCTTTTTGATTGTCAGATATCTAGAGGCTCTTTGAGGAATGAGAGCTTCCACTTAATGGCCTTGATTCTAGAACTGGAACTGTGTGTTTGTTTAACATCCTGGGCTGAAGCGAATGGCATGAAGTGGTGCTAACTCCGAGAGATTTACACCTCTATGGGATGGTGATGGTGGAGAGGGGAGAAAAAACACACTCCAAGGCAGAGAGGTCCATGAGCATTTATATGCCAAGTGACAGTTCATTTATCTCCATCTCAGCAAACCAGGTGCTGCAAGAAATTTTGGCATGAAAACTTCTCAGGCAAATTGGTATACAGGGGAGAAGAAGAACAGAAGAAGGAAAAATCAGAGCAAAACAAAAACATTTCAACAGTTTCTATGAAATCTCCTACCAGGCAGGTGCCTTCCTCATAGCTGTCAGTGCATAGCCAAACCTACGGGTGCTTCAACAGGGAAGCTGAAGGGGCACAGGGTGGCATCCAGGCAGGTTTTGAAGACCTCCAGAGAAGGAGACTCCACAACCTTCCTGGGCAGCCTGTGCCAGGGCTCTGTCACTCTCACAGGGAAGAAGTTCTTCCTTATATGGAGATGGAATATCCTGTGTTTCACTTGTACCCATTACTACTCGTTCTGTCGTTGGCCACCAACAGGAACAGTTTGACCTCATTGTCATTACCTTCTTTCCTCAAGTATTTATACATATTGATAAGATCCCCTCTCAATCTTATTGAGCTCCTTGGTTATTAAAACATCGATGGTGGTCTAAGAGCAGCTACGCCACTAGGCTGTCTGTGAACCTTTCGGGACAGCTGGACTCACTCTCCTAACAGGACAAGGACTCCTGGAGAGCAGACAGGTATGTGCTCCTGCACCACAACTTGCCTTGCACAGTCTGGCTCGCAGTTGGCCACATCCCACCAGGCCAGTCTGCGCCAACCCAAACCAACACTTGGCTCCCACATATCCATCTGCTCACGCAGATCCATTAATCCAGTGCATGGCTCTTACCTTTCACCAGGACTTTTGGGACTTTTGTGTGGCTGGCACAGAAGGCACTGTACAGCTTGAAGCGGTCAGCGTAGTAAAGGAAGGATCCACCCAAGGAAAACAACACTTTCTAGGATTGGAGAGAGGAGAAAGAAATAAAGCGTAAAACACATATGAAACCCTGTTAGTTATTTTCCCTTCCAATAGGTCAGCAGAAGGCTGACAACCTAAGGGGCATCTTCCACAGCAGGTAGTGCAAGCATGGTTTTTCTGAATGCTGCCACAAATATTCACTGCACTTCCAGCTGGTGATCTCCACCAGCAGAGAAAGACCAAAGAAACAAGTTCAGAAACCCCTYACAGAACTGACAGGGAAGAAGCCAGAACAAGATTTATGTCTTCCTTTGTACTCTGTACAATGTAGTCATGGTGAAAGCAAAGAGAAGGGAAGCAACAGGGGGATGGAGGGTTTCCATTTCCCTTTCAGACGATGGTACATCATATTTTTAGGAGTGTTCTCCCACCTCCAGGCACATCCAGCCTTGCTGCCTCAACCCAGCCCGGGCTTCCCTAGGCTGTTAGACTGGCTAAGGCAACCTGAAGAAACCACTGACTGCACCATGGACCTAGATTTAAGCTGCAGAGTTGTATTTAAATGCCCAAGCTTAAGATTCTAACTAACAACTGGAGGTCACAGAAAGGACCAGATATACTTGGCTTCATAATGGATCAGATATTAAGGAGCTGCAAGTGAGAACAGCAGGATGCCATGGCACAAATGACATTGGTGCACTTTTTTTTTTTTTAAGAAGTTTCTTTCTTACTCATCCCTTTCAGTTCAGAGACACTAAAATACTCCATTATGGGGACACTTCTTACAAAAGCCAAGTCAGATTCTAATTATGTGAGGGCAGAGCTCATGACCAATGCTGATTTAGAAACAGGCATCTGACATCAAAGCTAAGCACACCAGAAAGCCAACTTCTTTCACTAATTCTTGAAGGGCTATATGTTCGTTAGCTTAGCCCAATTAAAATAATATAATTATTCATCACATTATCCTGACTTCTACTAAGGTGAGTGCTCACAGCAAGAGTAAAACTCTCCAAAGACTAAATGTGGTATTTTTTACTTGCCATACATGCAGCACATGACTACAGGAGACACAGCCAAGCATACAGAGCCAGTTTGATTTAAACTACCCCCACATTTTGCTTTATCTTTTAAATCACATTTATATACTTCCAGTTTACATTTCTACACATATCCTGCATGCACAGTTGCTGACACTTGGAAGTACTTGCCATGCAGTTCTGCTGTCTACCAAAAGCCCAAATACCAAACTCAATTTACAGTTCGGAATTAGGGAACTAACGGGTTTCTGAACTACTGTATCAGACTTGTCAGAACAAAGGCTTTATGTAATACTCCAATTCTAGCTTTACAGCTCAAGACAAGAAATCTGACAGAAAAGCAAGAACAGCATCTAAAAGCAGATGGCATCACAAAATTCTAGTGCTCTGTACAGCTAAATGTATCTTGAACTTAGTTAAATTAATCTGCAATGAAAGCAGATGCATGTTTTTACATGAAGAGTGATAGCAGTCATATAAATGTGATGAAGGATGATAGAGGACAACTTCTGGGACATAGCTCATCATTACATAAAGGTTAGTAGTGTTAGTCTATTGAAAATTTTAATAGTGAAATTACCTTGAACTGCTCAACTTTTTCAAGCTTTTCCAGGTCTGGAACCAGCCTTACTCCATCTTCAAGAGTTTTTAAGAATTCCACCTGGAACACTACCATTTCAGTCAGATTCCCAAAGAGAACATCCAGCTAAAAAAAAAAAAAATAAAGGAAAAACAAGTAATATGTTGGAAATATTACTGTTAAGACCACTTTACATCTAAACTGTGTTTTGTGGAAGTTCAGTAATTCTCAGCCCAACTGTAGGATCAGTGTGATCTCAGGAAGAAAACACATTGAGCAGTGTCTTTATACTCTATTCAATCCATTATTTTAAAAGAAATAATTTCATAATTTCTCCGCAACGCTTAGAAAAGAAGGTCAAACTTAGAAGGGGGAGATCAAGATATCTAACAATAGGACAAGCAAGGCTAACATGCTGACATACCTCATCTGGTGTGAGGAAAGTTTCTTTTTGTAGAGGCTTCAGGTATCTCTCCATCAGACAGTTTAAGTCCTAAAGAAAAAAAAAAAAGATCACAAAGACAAAGATCACAGTCTATCTAGTCTGTGAATATTTCCTTGTCATGCATAAAGCACAGATTTAGCTTTCACAGAATTTAAGATATTTACAGTTTTCATTACAAAATGAATGTAAGATGTCATGAAACCGTATTCACCTGCCTACCTCCACTCCAAGGTCACTCCCAAGTAATGCAATTAGAATGCTGCATGCCTGCTTACTTCAGAGATTTGTTAAAGTTGCATGCAAATCTGTCACTAGAAGAGTAAATTAGCAAAAGACACATGCACAAATATGTATTTTGAAGTAGAAAAGCGACTAGCAAAGCTCTGTAAAAGGAGGAGAAATATTACTAGGCTGAGATCACATGTTGAGCCCCTTACTTTGACATAGGTGCGTTCGGTTTCGAGAAGTTCACAAATAACCTTTCGGAGCTTGTCTGCGTCTGTCAGCTGTCTCATGGTGGCCAGCTGGGGTCCAGTGGATTCCTGAGGATGAGCACTCGACTCAGAAGGATTCATGTCATGCAGACTGCGACAGAAAGCAGCGACCTGTTCTGTGCTCTTTAAAAAAGAAGGAAGAGAAAAGATCGGGGTAATATTTTAGGCAAGTGCTGCAGGAAAGAGGGAGTCAAGAAGTCTCTGGAGTTAGGCAGTTCAGTGGTCTGGGGGCTCTTTGAAAGCCACCAAAACCCACAGCTGCACATGTCCGTTTAGCTGTCTGTCTGTCCTGTCTCTTGGTGCCAGCAGATAAGCAGAAAGTAAAGAGAGTTACCCAAACTAACTGAAATGTTCTTCAGTAACACTCCTGTTTTCAGATGAACTTTAGTTAAAATGTGCTGGTCCAGCAGTTAGAATCAAACCAAAAAACAAAAGCCCCAAGGACCAGAAGTAGGAACTAAAAATGTCAGTGCAAACCAAACACCCTCCCTGCCCTCTGCCAGTTCCCTAATCCAGTCTGCAACAGGCCCCTGAATGGCTGCGTCAACACCAGCGAGAAGCCAACAGCGGCGCAGAAGCTGCTGGAGCGGCCGCGCAGCGAAGCGGGCACCCGCAGAGCCGCAGCCTCGGGCCCCTTCCCGTGCAAACTCCTTGGGCAGGAGGGTGCCTTGCACGCCCAATGTCCTCCTCGCAAACCAGTGTTTTCAGAGCTTCTGCACGGCGCTGGTTGCTTCAATGTTTAATCAGCTGTCTCTGTACAGAGAGCGTTATCCTCCCCTCACCTCCCTCCTGCCAGAGGCTCCTGGTGCATCTTCTGCTACACGGACAAGTGGCCGAGCGGGTTCGGTCTCCAGTGTCAGTGACGGCAGCCCCGGCGTCTAGGGTTGCTGCAGCAGCCCCGTGGGGCATCCTCTTCCCACCGCGAGGCCCAGCGGGGCAAAGAGCAGCTCTGCTTGATCACACACCTCTCAGCTTCCAAGATTAATCCTGCCACTCTGTCTTAATCCAGATTTGGAGGCTTACCACCAACTGCTGCTACATGGCTGCAGTCCGTATCTGAATAACTCACCTGAAATGTGCCTCTTCTGACATAGAATATGGAGGAGAGAGAAAAAGAACAAGGAAAAAAAAAAAAGGAGGAAAAAAAAGCCCACAAACACACACATACGCAACCAATTTGCACTGGGAAAATTGCCCTCGCTCACACCAACCTACCAGCAGGAGGAGCCTGAACTGCTACAGACCTCCGATGACCCAGTGCTGAAAATCTCTGCATTTGCTAAGCTGCACAGTGTGCTCACATAGAGCTATTTTCCTCCCAGTTGACATCCGTCACACCCTGGAGAGGCATCAGCTATTTTAGCCAAGAAACAGATTTTCTTCCATAACACAATTGCTTTCCCCAAAGCCACTTTACGGCTGCAGAGACCTACCTATGTGGACCATAGTTAGGTATACTAGTAAAGATGCCTGTTAGCAAAGGGATCATTTCCTTTAGGATACAAATATAAGTTGACTGTCCATACAAGGGTGCCTCTTGGACATAGTTTATTACAGAGAGAGCATTCATCTTCAAGATCTGAGATGTAACTTCACAGCAAGTAGAAGGAAAAAATGTGGTAAGTTAAGGAGAAGTAAGAAAAAAAATCTCTTCCTTTCCGCCATCTCCCCCAAAACAAATAAAACCTCCAGTGAGTCGGACCAGTCCATCCCTAACTAATCCAGCTTCTGGTGTGGCACATTCCACTGAGAGCTGGATCTAGCAGTCCAGGCAATTCATTTCTCACCAAGATTCCTCCTGTGCTCATGGAGGAATCCACACAGGAGGTGAAAGCCAGGCTTCAGTGCTGGAAAAAATAAATGTGGAGCGACCTGCTATGGTGACAAGTGACGGGAACTGACAGTAAACAGATGTTAATCTGAGCCTGCAGAGACACAGAACATGTAGGGTTTTCCACAGGTACATTTAGCTTTGTAAGGAAAGCTTCCTGAAAGAGTATTTGAGGATGGCATATGTGGCAACATGTTATTACAGGAGCAAAAGGCACAATTAAGAATAGTTAAAACACGTAAAAACTTTGTTTATTTTTGGAGCTTGATTCCATATAAAGTGACTTTAACAGTTCCTGCTTGATACTCTGCAGACAGCTCACCATGCTGGGTGTTCGCTTGCAATATGTTGCAGGGAAAGATGGGTCACCCAAAGAAACGTGGGGAAAATCCATTCGGAATGTGAAACTAGGGTAAACACCAACGAATATCTAAAAATTGAACAAGTGTCAAATAGGCTGCCCCTTAAGGAGCACTCACACCCATACTCGAAAAAGAATTCTGGAAGACTTAAAAGCCTCTCCACATACACGTACTTTCCAAAAAACTCATTGACTTCACCCACATCCAGTTCTGGCCAACGCCACCTTTAAGGCCTGCTTTGCCCCCTCTTCTCCCCATATGCTTTAAATATTTTCTCACAAGCATCATCCACCTGCTACTTTTCAGATGGAGAAAAGAATCTCAAGCGCATTAACACTGAAGAGCCTCTTCCTGCTTGCTCCAGAACCAGCTGCCTAGTTTGCTCCTCAGTGCAGCCTCTTCTACCCTCTAGCTCCTATGTGCTTTGAAATGAGTTTCTAGAGAGACCAGGTAGAGTGATGTAGCACCCAGGGAGGTTCAGAACCCAACTGCTTTGCTCCACATTCCCAAACAGCATTAACAGGATTGTCTCTGCCACCACCTTCCTACAGAAAGCAGGTAGAATCGGGAAGATCTGGAATACAACCAAAAGCCTTCATCTCCCCAAAGCAGCTCCGTTTGCAGGGACTAAAATGACAGCACTGAGCTGGGCTTTCGCAGGAGAATTACTGCATCGCTCCTGAGGCAGGATTCCACCAGCAACCCCATCCAGGAAATGTGACAAGCTGTCTGCACGAGGGGGCTGCAAAAGGCACTTGCCCTCACAGGCGACGGCAGGGGCTCTGCAGGGTGCCCCGCTCACATCCCTGCCCTTCCTGCAGGGAGCCCTTCCGCAGAGCCACCGAGCCGCTCCTGTGGTCCTCTGTGGGCAGTTCCAGCCACCCACCCTATCTATAGCTTGGGACTGCAATTTCCTCTGGTGCTCCCCTTATAAAAAAAAAAATCTATAGATGCCTGAGCATCAGGGAGAATGCCTTCTTAAAAAGCACGCAGCACCTGTGTCTGTAACAGGCAACAATCTCCTATGCATTACTGATCTCCCAAATAAAATTCAGGCAAACTGCATTTTTTTCACGCATTAGCCACTTTCTTAACGACACTGCACAGCAACAAAGTGCCTCCGCTGGCTCTCGGCATTTCAGCTTAGCCTCCGATTTACCGCCTTAAAATCCAAACAGCACGAGAACCCCGTTAGCCGCCGATTGCACAGACGAGGCACGCCACCCGGCACGCCAGCTCACCAAGCAGAGCCCGCGGTTCAGGGCGCCGCCAGCTCTTGCGATGCCTTCGCCCCTCAGCTTGCGGTCACCTCTCCAGAGCGCCGACATCGCGGGCCGGGCAGTGGCGGCAGAAGTGTCACTCGGCGCCTTCCAGCTCGGCTCGGGGAGAAACCCCGCTCCACCACATCCCCGGCCGAGGTGATCCGGCTTTCCTGCTCCAGCCCAAGGCTGCGTGCTCAGCGCACCAGCCGGGAGCCTGCTGCGTTCCCAGGGGAAAGGGTGGCGGCCGCACTGCCCTGGCCGGCGCCTTCCCCCTGTGCCCTAGGCCTGCGGAGCTGGGCGCAAGCTGCGGCCGGGAGCTCAACGCTGCTCTTCGTGGAGTCACCGGCGGGGAAACTCCGGCAAAAAGGCTGACACGCAGAAGAGGAGATGTGAAGGCAGCCCTGGAATATAAATGTGTCTTGCCTGTGGCTGAGCAGGAGCCGATTGGCTATAGACGGCACCGCATAAGAATATTAAATATCTGAAGGGACAGAAGCACAGAATTAAAAAGATCTTTAAAAAAGCCGGCTCTGTTACTGGAAAGCCTTCCCCCTCAAATCCCTATTTTAATCCTTTTGCATCCCTTGTGACACATTGAAGGTTTTGAGATTTAATTCTGGTTTCTGAATAACTCTTGCTGCAGAGAGAAGACCAGCTATTTCCTTACGCAAGATGCCTCTGAAGGACACAAGCACGTGCCCAGGTCGACCGCGACAGCGGCGCTGCAAGGTAATTAACTGCTTCTAGAGGCAGGGGTCTTGAATTAGAAACCAGGAAAAAACAAGTGTCCTGCAGTGTTTTAATTGATTACAGTTCTAGAAACACCGCCTAACTCAAAGGACGCGGTCTGTTATAGGAAGCAATAYGCATGAAGACTGATCTTAGGAGGTAACACAGCCCATGCCTAAGCTTTTGCTAACCCGCAACATTAAGTGCCTATTTGTATAACCTGTCCTCAGGTGCCTCCTTTGAACCTCCATTTATTCTGTGCTATTTGAAGAGTCAAACCAAAGCAACCAGATCACCACAGGGGCAAGCAGCTGTTTCAGCAGTTACTCTCCTCTTCAGTCTTGGCTCCCACATAAAACGGGGAGAGCTGGGAAAGTTAGGAGTCAGCTGCACCCCTTAGAGGGAGAAGCAAACGCCCAGAGAGCAAAATCTGCCCAGTTCTCACCCAGAGAACAAGACCTGCTCAGTTCCATGTATGCAGATGTAAACTGAGAGCTGCTGGACATAGGGGAGGCTTCACGAAACCAGACTGGAGCAAATTCGGAGTGCTACGGCCTCCCGCAGCGCTGCAAATGCCTCCACCCTCTCTGGAAATGCGCGTCTCATGTTTTATCATTGCACTTTCATAGTCATTTTCTCTTTTGCTTGTTGTTACAATTCCTTTGAGGATAGCAAAGGAGAAGTAAACTGCACGTTTTGCAATCTCTCCTCATGGCTCCATTCTCAAGGACACAGAGAAGACAGGAGTTTCTAAGGATCCTCAAAGCTGCTGRTGTACCCTCCAATCCTCCACTGCCTTCAACAGCTTGGAGGCTTTTAGGGATTAAGAGACAAATACACCGTTCCTGAGCAAACCCACACCCACATGCATACATGCTGAGGGCGAAGGGAGAGGTGGAAGGGAGGAGGAGGAGAGGCACATCCAAGCACCTCCTATGCTATGTGGCCATTTATGTGACAGTGTTACAGAGAAGCTGGAAGGGCCCTGGGTCTGGCATTTGGGAGGCAGGCGCACAACTTACCTTCATAGCAAGTCTGCTTGAGGCACAGRAGCGTGCAGAGAGGAGCCGCGGTATAGCGCTCCTCTCCTCTTCCCATGAATTATTAACTCACATGGAGAATCGCTCCGCTGGCCGGGAACGGGGAGCTCTCACCCCCAGCGGAGCGTGGAGGTGGCCGTGGGCCTAGGCCCCGTTCAGAGCCGGGCCTTGCAAGGCTGAGGGCAAGCCAAGCGCTGCCACGCAGGGCTGTGAACGCTGCCTCCACGGTGGGACAGGCAGCCCTGCCGGGGAGCCGGCAGCCTCCGGGGCTGCTGAATGGGGCTGCTCCTGCGGYGGAGAGCCTGGGGAGCCCTGCCCTGCTCCTGCCCAGGGGGCAGGGAAAGCAGCAAGAGAAAAGAGGAGATGGCCTCCCCCTCACCGCGCTTCCCCCCGACCGTGCTTCCATCCACAGGAGGCGCTGGAAGCCGCGGATGGGCAYGGGCGCTCCTGGAGGCACAAGGGCCTTTCAGAGCCTTTCAGTTTATACACCCCAAGCCTGGGCGAGATGGCAGCAGGGTCACAGCCYAATCCGCGCTCCTTAATCCCAGGAAAGGTGCGGCAGTAGGGCAGGGAAACTCCAGCGCCTTCCCCCTCGCGGCCCCTGCAAGGCTGCGATTTTCCATGGAGCTGCAAGTGACACTGGCACACTCACTATTCCCCCATGCAGGGCGGCTTTCCCAAGCACACGGGAAAGCAAAGGCATTAAGCAGACCCTTATCAAGTCAATTTTTAAAAGTTTCTTAGTCTGTGGCCTTTCCCCCKCTCCCCCCCGCTCGCAATCATATCAAAGATGTAATATTTGAGCAATGACAATTCTGCCCTCTACCATTCACTGGAATTCTTGCCAGATGCAGCAAAATAACGCAAGGATTCCTATGCCCTTAGATAGGGAAGAACCACAAAAAGAGCCCACTGGGCACACAGTTCTCTATGGAAAGGGACAGAGGCATTAGAGATTATCAAGATGAGCACACTGCATATATACATATATGTATACATACATGTATGTATATATGTAYACACACACACACACACACACACACACACTAGAGGTAAGTATATGCCTCTTCCATGGAAAACAGTTAAGCGATCTGTTTCTTGACAGGCAAAATATGAAGAGGTAAATACTCTAAATCCCCTCTACATCGTACAAACAACACATACTGTTTCTGAATTTTAAAAGAAAAGAGTGTATCAACAACATTTCCATTATAGAAAGACAGATTTTCTTTCTTCTCCCTGGAACTGGGGCTTCTTAGACTTAGGAATTACTCTTCCATTGTATGAATATTAAGCATAGAGCCGCTAACACACATTTCTCAGTTTAACTAAATCTGCTGCACCGCTGGGCTAATCACGTAATCCTTCTGTCTTGCTCAAGGCACTTACAGCTCTGAAGATCCAGGAGGCAGGATGCAAAACGGAACCCCACAGCCTCTCACATTGCTCCRAAATAGCGAGCTAGAGAAAACACAGCAAGAACATCTATTCCCCAAGCAGCTACGTGTTGTACTCAGTGCTTGTCCACAGCTTCAGTGCTTAACARTACAGGCTTCCCAGAACATAGGAAAATCCCAAGCACTCCCAGTTAAAAATCTATGAGAACCAACAAATAATTCCACTTTCTCAAAAAAAACCCCAATTCTTTGTACTTACAAGAAAAGGCTCTGTAAAAAGAAAAAATAAATAAAACCACCCTGGAAACAAACTGCAGAAGCAATCACCTTCTTTGTAGGCAAGTTCCACATATATTTCATGTGGAGGAATGTTTTTCTCTTATCTGACTTCCACTGTCTGGCTATCAAAGACAAAAGTACAGGCTAGGGTGACATAAGAGATCAGGAAACAAGAGGCCAGGGTCTTTTCCTTCCTTTCACTACAATAGGCAAACAGAATAGCACAGAGACCAGTTCAGGACTCACTACGACACATTTTATCTAAAACAAGAGCTGAGACAAAAAAATATACCTTTACATAAACATAAATCCAATGAGAATTGATACTCAAGGAGAAAATAAGCTCTCAACATCACTTATGCAACAAATACTTTAAAGCAATCAGTGCCTGGAAAATATTTTTGCTCGATCCTGCCTCAAAAGCCACTATCTATCACAGGTAACTTTGTGTGAAGCTCCCCARTACCAGTGAAGCTCCCTAGTTTGTGCAGCAAGTACAAACTCCAACCACAGTAAAACTTAATCGGTGGCAATTAGCAATGCATTTGCACAGCCTCTTAGCTTTAATTGGAGTTTTGCTTCAATTTAAGGTAGATTGGGTCTAATTAGTTTGTATTTAAAAACTATCGTGTGCACTATGCTATTGATTTAAGGAAATATTGTAATTTACATGCCTTGAAATCAAGAAAGAACAGGAAGCTGTAGTAGTAATCCATCTGATCTTTTGCTTCAGATGACCTGCAAGAACCCTCAAAAAACCACCTGGAAACATCACAAGATGATGAAAATGAGAATTTCTCTCTGTAAGGAAAAGGGGCACAAGTCTTTCTCAACAGATAGTGACATGCCAGAATTAGAGCTGTAAACTCCTTATGATCAGTGTTTTCCCAGAAAAGATGTTCTAATTGTGCACAGCTGTGAAGCCAGCACATCAGCTGTGAGTCTGTGGTGCTTTGGCTCCGTGTCATGTGAAAATGAACATTTCTCACCTTGCCCATCTTATCGGCCTCATCAGACAATTCCAAGTCTTGCGCTTCCGTCTCTTCTGGAGCAGTCTCAACGGAGCTGTCTGCGTCCCCACAGAGCAGGTGCCCTGCTAAAATCGAGATGTGTGTGAAAGCGTGAGTATAATTTCCCCAAATCTGCAAAACTGAGTGCAGCGTATACTGAGTTCCCATGAAGAGCCAGGCCCCATCCTGCACCTAAGCACAGGTCAGCAGACATGGTTCTCAGAGACCTCAAGGGACTACCTGGGGTTGTAGTGGGGATCGGGTTTACCTACGCATGGGAAACAGGTTGTGGGCAGACATGCTATTTTGGTTAGAATCTGGGAAACAGGTTGTGGGCAGACATGCTATTTTGGTTAGAATCTATTAAAACTGATTCAGAAACAGGGCTAAAATGCCAGGCTGAAATTCCTTCTTCTGTCATTAAAGCATCAGAAGTTCCACAGAAACTGAAGAAAACATTTCTTAACAGTGAGGGTGTCAGAGCCCTGAAACAGGCTGCCCAGAGAGGTGGTGGAGTCTCCTTCTCTGGAGATCTTTAATACCTGCTTGGATGCAGCCCTGTGCCATGTGCTCTAGGTGACCCTGTGTGTGCAGGAGGGTTGGACTAGATGACCTCTAAAGGTCCCTTCCAACATTAAGCATTCTATGATTCTATGATTCCATGAAATTCTTAGTAGCCAACAGCTCCCTGCTTTATACACCAGTGGTGTCAAGTGGAAACTACGGGATGTCAGTGAGTCAGTGTTGGTGAGAACACCTTGGATAATCATTCCGCTAAGGAAGCTGGGCAGGACTTTAAAATGATCACAGTTTTAGCCTGATACATCTGCCACGGAGTTTCAATGTTGATTTAAAAAAAGAAAAAAAAAACACACACTTTTTAGCAGTTTTCAGGAGCCTGTCACATTATCTGCAAACTGAACTTTTCACTGGTACATAGCAGTAATCTTGTACATCTGATCCTTAGCACACTGCAGAAGCAACACTTGTGACACAAACAATAACTCACAACCTTTTGTAAATAGATGATGAATCTTTTGCAATTGACAGAAGAATTCAAGGAACTAAGCCCAACCTCGGAGCAATGTGTGCATGTAGCTTTTTTGAGGACATCATTCCCTAACCCAAACAGCAGTAAGACGCTGTATTACTACATCTTACCTAATCTTCATTGGAAAACAGGTATCACATACATTGAATTGCTAGGTATTGCAAATGATAATGAACAGCTAGCATTTTTAACTGAGTATGACAAAAAGTGGAGAAACAGCGAGCATCATCCTCTATAAGAAGGTATGTACTACATATATATATACACACACCCACACGCACACTATTTCTGCATGCAGTTTTAGTTAGAAACCACTCGTTCGCTCTTTTATATAAGAGCAGTTCAGCAGCATTTAGTGACAGAATGAACTGCTGATGGAAAATCCTGCACATCTCCATCAGTTTCATGGCAGCTTAAGGAAGCACATCACCGAAGCTGAGTCCTGGTGTTTGTTAATTACTTCCAATGTTCCCGTCTCCTCCCGGATAATCCCATCAAGAGGAGTTAATTCAGCGGTCACACTCCGGGGCTGGACTCGGAAGGGCAACCTTCTAGGTACAGCTCCTTGCTTGCATCCTGTCACACCGCCAGAGCAGGGAATGTTCCCCTGTGGATTATGCCTTTCATGACACCAAGTTTATTTTCCAGGTAATGCAGAAAAACCTGACCAAGCTGCAAGGGGTGCAGCAGGCTCCACAGAGTGGCTACTTTTGAAAAATGAGACTCAACAGCATTGGCTGCTATCCTCTTCTTTCTCCCTCTGCTGTTAGGATGTCACATTTTGTCGGAAAACTCGTGTTTTTCTGTACCAGGACAGGAAATGTTTCAAACTGCTGTTTTTGTGGTGTGCCCTATAGCTAGAAGCAGCCCAGGAGCACAGTGCCATGTTGTTGTTGAAACATGACCATGTTACAAAGGTGATAGTGATTTAGCACATGGAATACAGCTACRATTCTACTTAAATCCTATGACTACTCTTATGTTATTTACTATTTTCAATTTGACATTTCCATTTGGATAAGTTGTGTAATTGTCTGTAAAGGGGCATTTGACTAGACAGTGATGCTGTAAGTAAAAAGGTCATGGTGAATATAATATACATCGGTTATGGTTACGTTTCAGTTTAATGCACTGACCAGAAAAATTACAGTAGAGTGGTTGGTTATTAAATAAATTGGCAAGGTGCTGTAAAGATTCTGAAGTAATGGGTTGCACATTTCTAATACATTTGCTTATATTTGCACTGGACTTTAATAAGCTTCATGAATTAGAAGTAATTGTATCTGGGAAGACTTCCTAAAGGAATAAGAAATTAAAATCTGCTGTCTGGTCCTTGCAATTAGAAAGCCACTGCTCTGGTTTCAGCAGGTGTCATGTTAACACTTAAAGCTGGTTCAAGAAGACATATTAGAACATGTTCTATAAATCAAGACAGAAGACAGAGAAGCAGGTCTGGATTCCTGAGCACCCAACTTCCTGCTGCTGTTGTGGCAAGCGTAGAAACTTGCATAATCCTACAAGAACTGCAGCTTTTTGGGTCTGAAAATAATGCAGAAAATAGGAATTCAGAAATACGGAACTAAATTCAGAAAATATTCTGCATACTAGATTGTATGTAAATATGACACCAAATAAAAACAAATTAAAAGCCGTCAAATTCTTCCCAAAGAAGCCCATTTCCTTGGAAAATACAAGGTTTTCCTTTTGAAAAGATAGGATTGTAAAAGATGTTTGGCAAAGCAAAGCCCACTTGAAGATGTGCTTTCTTCCATATGAAGTTTCCTGTGCCTCGCTTATACATAGTTGAACCTTAATACCCACCTTTATGGCTTTCTGGTCCCTCTATTAATATGTGAAAAAAAAAGCCATAAACCTCTTATTAAAACTTCATATTAAAAATACAAGGAAAAAGGGTCCTAGGTGCTATAACTCGGTTTGAGCAACCGGCAATTACTCATTGTGGGGAATTCTGCCCCAGAGGTGGCGCGGGACGGCTCCTGCAGCTGTTTCTCGCGCGGGGCCAAGGCAAACAGTGCTTGTCGAGGCGGGTTTGGTTTGTTCTGCTCTCGAGCAGTCACTCCCTCCTTCTCTGCCTGCCAAGGCAGCTCCTAATCTGTGTCCGGCAGCGCGAGGGCCTCCGCGCAGGGCAGAGCCACCTGCCACTYGCGTCCCCACGCGCAGCCGGCGCTCAGGACTCTGTGGTGCCACCGCTGCCGCGCGCTCCCGCTGCCGCTCTTCACTGAGCTCCTCCGCACGGCTCCTGGACCCTTCCTTTGTCAGGAACGTGTCAGGCACGTCGCCACGCTTCATTTTTGCCCCATAAATCTTTGCTTAGCCTCGTGTGGGAGCTGGGGGGACAGGGTGCCCGGTTCCTCCAAGGGCCACCCGGATCTTCCAAGGCCACCACCGCTTGCTAAGGACAACAGGGCGGGGGCTGCACGTGTCCTTAAGGAATCGCAAAGGGAGACCCCCCCCCCAAGCAGCAGGGAAAGGGGGTCAAGGCTGTCCGGCTCAGGAGGAGGTCTCAAGAGCTCCCTGCTTGCCTCGGCATCCATGACACGATGACTAAAGYGCGTTAAGTAACCTCTGCTTATGCCTTGAACTCACATAAAAGGCAGTTTTACACCACTGGAGCAAAGGTGCTGGGGCTTAAAGGTCTGGAGAGTAACGTGAAGCTGCGGTGTCAGCCAGGGGTTGGCTCCGATTTTCCAGAGCCGCTACTTCTAATTCGTGTCGCCTGGATGCCTCCAAGAGCCCCACGGTACCCGTGAGCACCTCACGGCCTGTGCAGCTCGCCAGTGTCCCCCAGGAAGGCACTGCCTGTGGGGCTCCGCCGGGCCCACRTGCCCTCCTCCTGCTGCTGCCACCCGCCTTCTCCCCGCTGCGGGTTCTGCTGACACAGCTGCTGGCTGGAAATAGTCATTTGTTCCCTTGTTTCTGCTGCCGGCCCTCATCTAGTTCCTGGCGCGGGCGCCTTTTAGGGCAGGGCTCAGCGGGAGAGCGGCCGGGGAGGCTCGTGAGGCGCTCGCAGCCTCAGGAGCGCTGGGCAGCACCGAGCGGGGCTTCGGGAGCTCCTCTGGGAGCTGAGGAGAACTGAGGTGCCTGAATCGTCCTATAATTCCTTAGCCAGCACACGACATTCCTAYACGCCCCATTACTGCAGCAGAGGCCTTTTCAGAATAAAACTGGCCGCTGAATGAGCTGATTTTCATACAGTTAGGGAGTCTGTCTGAGATTGAATTTAATTTGGGACAAAATCTGACCTATAATGACATGATATCAAAGGTTAGAGTACTTTCCTTTCCTTTCTAGAAGAATGCTGACAGGATTTCAAGCATGGAAATGCAGGAATGGGTCACCCCATTTTACACTGTTTATTTTCTGTCCCACTGGGAATTCCTACAGAATTGATAACTRTCGAAAAGACACTGCAAAACTCAGCTACAATTGCCTCAGTTACTGTCTAACAAAAAGACAGTATAGGAACACCCTGGAAAACGGTACCTTTCCTGAAGAGCTGTAGAACAAGCCCTGTAAATGTCTCTTCCTTCTTGACTGAATTCTGCTGCTTCCACTTATGCCTCTAGTGTTCAACATACTGCTTGAATATGGAAGACTCCCTGCTGGATGTCATCCATCCCATCCCCTCGCTCGTACGAGGAAAAGGGCAGGCTCAGTTAAACCTTCCCGGGATCAGCTGCCCTGCAGCCACTTCTTGCCCTGACCTGCTCAGGAACCCAGGCAAAGGCTGGTCTAACTCAGGTCAAGGACTGGAGTGGCCTGCTCGGAATAAACAGGAATACTCACGTGCTCGGACGCTGCAAACCAAGGATCCTGTGATCAGGACAGACCAGCCACCCCTTCCATAACTAACACGTTTTGCTTTGTCACTCCTCGCACAGTTGCATAAAGTGACTCTAGGTCTTAAAGCCCAGAGCGAGTGAGGGGCTGCCCCATGGGCAGGACACAGACCCCCTTCAGCTCCAGCCAACAGGCAGGCACGGGGCCAGCAGTGGGAGCGGTGCCACAATGGGA